GTGGAAATTCATCAAGGATTTCCAGTAGAGAAAGTGATTTTGAAGATAACTCTAAATCTTCTTGCAGCGGACTCTCTCAGCATATATAAAATATTAAAACAGAAAGTCTAAAGAATAGTTTAATATGTGAAGGTTTGGAGGACAGAACAGTATTAAATTCACAAGATGTTTAGGTAACCATCTAATCCTATGACAGTATTTTTTGCTTCTATATTAAAAACTTTGGTCTACCAAGGTGTTCGTCCATTGTTCTTGCCCTAAAGAAAATAGTTTGACATGAAAGGAAGGAGGAAGAAATTTGTGGCTGGGAAACCAGAGGACACAATAAACAGTGACACCTTTATCCAAGTAGTACTGTGAGAACAATAGCATGGTTTTACTCTTAATTTCTGTTGCAAGAGACGTATGTGTTAAAGACAGAGCTTCTGTTACATTTAGTATCGTGTTTCCCTCCTGTGGTTACTGGCATAACCTGGCTTTAAATTATGCTTTGCCTTGCTCTTACCATCAGTTCAGTGTTTGAAAAGTCTTTGTTTATTCATGATGGCTAGTACTCACTTACATCTCACTCCACAGACAATAAACTCAGTTTTTAATGAACAAAGCCATGGTTTAGAAACTGAGAGCCATTGCAACTTGACAGGAGGAAATTTTCCTAGATTTCCTGTAGAGTTGGAATAAGATAAATGGCAATGGAATTTGATGAGTTTACTAGATTGCAGAAATCTGATAAGGGTATAAAAAATTGGTCATCTGCCATAAATTTATATGGACTTTTTTTTTTTTGTCTGCGTTGGGTCTTCGCCGTTGTGCGCGGGCTTTCTCTAGTTGCGGCGAGTGGGGGCTGCTCTTCATTACAGTGCGCAGGCTTCTCATTGCGGTGGCTTCTCTTGTTGCAGAGCACGGGCTGTAGGCGTGCGGGCTCAGTAGTTGTGACTCACGAGCTCTAGAGCACAGGCTCAGTAGTTGTGGCGCACGGATTTAGTTGCTCCACGGCATGTGGGATTTTCCTGGACCAGGGATCGAACCTGTGTCCCCTGCATTGGCAGGTGGATTCTTAACCACTGCACCACCAGGGAAGTCCCTATATGGCCTAATTTAATCTTAGACCAGCATCGTGTTCATTTGATATGCTACTGTTTGTTATACTACTATTTAAATATTTTTGTGACATAAACTTAATCTTGGGGGAAAAAAAGGCATTATCTTTTAAACTAGGCTTAAAAGGTGACACACATTGGAAATACTAATAATTGTCAGCCTTTTATGCTTTTAACCTATGGATAATAATTTTACGATATTTTGGTCTTTTAAGATTCAACGGGTATCGAGTTATTAGGTTACTTTAAATTTCTTTTTAATTAAAAAATTTTAATTGGAGTATAACTGTTGTACAATATAGTTTCAGGTGTACAACATACCGATTCGATATTTAAATACGTTATAAAACAATCCTAATAAGTCACCATACAAAATTATTACAGTATTGTTGACTGTATTCCTTATACTGTATATTATATCCCTGTGACTTATTTATTTTGTAACTGGAAGGGTTTTTTTTTTGTTTGTTTTGTTTTGTTTTGTGGTATGTGGGCCTCTCACTGTTGTGGCCTCTCCCATTGCGGAGCACAGGCTCCGGACGTGCAGGCTCAGCGGCCATGGCTCACGGGCCTAGCCGCTCCGCGGCACGTGGGATCTTCCTGGACCGGGTCACGAATCCGTGTCCCCTGCATTGGCAGGCAGACTCTCAACCACTGCGCCACCAGGGAAGCCCTATAACTGGAAGTTTGTACATCTTAATCCCCTTCACCTATTTTGCCCAACCCCACCTCCCTCCCCTCTGGCAGCCATCCACTTGCTCCCTGTATCTATAAGTCTGTTTCTGGTTTGTTTTGTTTTTTAGATTCCACATATAAGTGAAATCATACAGTATTTGTCTTTCTCTGTCTGACTTATTTCACTTAGCGTAATACCCTCTAGGTCCATCCATGCTGTTGCAAATGGCAAGATTTCGTTCTTTTTTATGGCTGAGTAATAGTCCTCTGTATGTTTGTGTGAATATTGGAGTACATATGTCTTCTTGAATTAGTGTTTTTGTTTTCTTCAGGTAAATACCTAGAAGTGGAATTGCTGGATCGTATGATAGTTCTATTTTCAATTTTCTGAGGAACCTCCATACTGTTCTCCATAGTGGCTGCACCAGTTTACATTCCCACCAACAGTGCACAGGGGTTCCTTTTTCTCCACATCCTTGCCAACACTTGTTATTTCTTGTCTTTTTGATGATAGCGCTTTGCTTATTTTTAATATTATTGCCAAGAATATCAGAACTAATATCACCTTTAGAGATGATCTAGCCTAGCAGTCCCTTGCAGAGGAATCTTTTTCAAATACATTCTTACACGGTACCTGGTACGTGAAACAGATTTTTTTAATATTATAAACTTCTATAATTTGAGACTTGTACTTTTCATAAGGTCAGTGGATGAGGGGAGAAAGGATTATTTTGAACAGGGAAAGGACTTAGTTGAAGAGGCCCTTGGCCTTCACTTTGTATTTTGTTTTGTTTGGCAATTATTTGAAAGCACTGAATTACGTGAGAAGTAGCTGCCAGTGGTAATAGGTTTTATTGGTTTGTTTTACAAGGTTCACCCTGAACCCTTAGGCGACTTCAGTTTTACAGGACTACAGAGAAGTTAATTTAGCAATACAAGTTAATGACATGTAGAACCGTGGAGCTGTAATTTTTTATCTTAGCTTTAAGATAAAAAAATAAAATCAAATATTTACAGAATCCCAGAACTCTGCACAGAACGCCGTTTGAAAACTAGCTGTCGTGCTCCAGGTGACATCGCTGTAGAACGAGAGCATAGAGTCCGGTTGTACTATCTACTTTTGCAGAGAGATTGTCAAATATTGGAGAAAATGTGAAAGCATTTCTCACTGAAAAAGGTTAGGGTTAGTAAATCCTCATTTTTAAAAGTGTGTCCTGGAAGTTTCCGAAATTTTTTTTTTTAATTTTCTGTTTTACTCAGTATTAACAGTGGTTGCCAGCCCACACATTGTTCAGCCCATAAGTAACTGAAGTAGTAGGGTTTAGCTCTCTTACGATTATTATATTATTAAAGTATTAATTTTTAAGTTAGTTTGGCATTCTAAAAGAGCCTCGTGACTATTTCCATGGGACTTTTAAAAAATCTGATTTATAGTTTTGGTTTGGTTCTCCACTCCCACTGTGAGGTAGATAGCACAGGAGAGTGAGGATTTTTTCATTCTCCAGTTGCAGAATTTTTATCCCTCCACTAAAGCAACTATTAATCTCCTCTTTGAAGAAGAAGCTTAGCTCCTAGTGTTAGAAGGGAACGCTGAAGATGCCCTACTTTACTTCTGTGCCATTAGGCTCATGGTTTTGTAAAGCTGTGCAAAGAGGAAACTTGTCCAAAACCAAACACATGTCACCTTCCTTTACCAAGCTGGATATTTAAAGGAACCCTGTGGGGAATCCTTTTGCAAGGCAAATGCTCCTCTGAGGTATTTGGGTAATAGGAGAGCTCCTGGGGCTTTGAAAAGCCATTAGAACTCTTCTTTCTGTGCTCACCCCCACCAATGGGAGTTATCAGTGCAATGGTTTGTTGCTCCTTGAAGAGAATCTCTAATCTCTGAGCAGCCAGTGGTCCTAGTCCCCCTGCGATCCAGGGCTGCTACTTACCTTCCACTCAGTGGTGCCAGGCATTCCTCCGTGGACTGGAAGACATCTCAGACTGCCAGCCAGCTTGTACTAACTAAATTCTGCACAGTGATTATAGGCTGTTTAGCATCAAAGTTAAATTGAGAAGTAAAAACAAAATGAGAGCATTATAATCCATGATTTCTCTTGTCACTTCCAGCTAATCAGTCTAGAAAACAAGCCTAGCATGAAAATTGCTTGTGTTTTTTGATGTGGAATTACTTAATCAATTGTTTCATGTCAAAAATTATAGTAAGTATGGAAACCAGTATGGAGGTTCCTCAAAGAACTAAAAATAGGGTTGCCATATGATCCAGCAATCCCGCTCCTGGGCATATACCCAGACAAAACTCTAATTCAAAAGGATACATGCACCCCTATATTCATAGCAGCATAATTTATAATAACCAAGACATGAAAGCAACCTAAATGTCCATCGACAGATGAATGGTTAAAGAAGATGTGGTATGTATATACAACAGAATATTACTCAGCCATAAAAAAGAATGAAATAATGCCATTTGCAGCAACGTGGATGGACCTAGAGATTATCATAGTAAGTGAAGTAAGTCAGTCAGAGAAAGACAAACATCACATATCACTTATATGTGGAATCTAAAATACCACACAAATGAACAGACTACGAAACAGAAACAGACTCACAGACATAGAGAACAGACTTGTGGTTGCCAAGGGGGAGGGGAGTGGGGGAGGGAAGGATTGGAATTTGAGATTAGTAGATGCATACTATCATATATAGGATGGATAAACAACCAGGTCCCACTGTATAGCACAGGGAACTATAGTCAGTACCTGGTGATAAACCATAATGGAAAAGAATAAGAAAAAGAATATGTATATGTATAACTGAGTCACTTTGCTGTATAGCAGAAATTAACACAACATTGTAAATCAACTATACTTCAATAAAACTGGAAAAAAATTATGGTAAGTAAGACCTTGGGTTCAAATTCTGAGTCCACTGCTTACTTGCGTAACATTACACAACAAGTGATTTAATTACCCTAAAGTTGACTCAGAGGGTTGTCGTGAGGTGTAAAGGTAATTCCTTTGAAGTGTATTAACGTGGCATGTAGAGTGTGGCAGCTGCTTTACTAATTCGTAGTTTTTACCATAATTTTTATTAATATTGTCATTATTTTGAAATTGTGTTATGCGTAGAGAAATATTACTAGGAAAGGTAAGTAAGGAGGATTAAACTAATCCTGGTTCTTAAAGCCCTTTCTCCCCTCCCCGGCCTGTACCCCTGCAGAATGTGATACGCTGCGGCAGGATGGCTACCGGAGTTCTCAGTACTACTCCCAGGGACCCACCTTTGCAGCCAACTCCAGTCCATTCTGCGATGATTATCAAGACGAGGATGAAGAACCAGATCCAAAGGTAAGGCTTCTAAATGCAACAGAGGATCCTGGACTGGATCCCAGAAGAGAAAAAGGACATAAGTTGGAAAAACTGGTGAAATCAGAATAAGTCTGTTTTTTAGTTAATAGTATTATCCCACGTTAATTTCTTAGTTTTGGCAAATGTACCATGATTATGTAATATGTCAATATTAGGGAAAACTGGGTGAAGGGTACACAAGGAATTCTCCATACTATCTTTACAACTTTTCTGTAAGTCTAAAATTAGTCCAAAAAAGGTAAGTTCAGGACCCAAGGAATTCATTAAAGGGACATAAACAGTGTATTGATTTCAGTACAATATTCAGTAAATTACATGAGCTATTAAACACTTTATTATACAGTAGGCTTTGCATTAGATGATTTGCCCTAACTGTAGGCTAATGTTAAGTGTTCTGGGCATGTTTAAGGTAGGCTGGGCTAAGCTGCAATGTCCGGTAGGTTAGTGAATTATATACATTTTGACGTTTGTTTTCAACTTACGGTGGGCTTATCTGACGAAACCCCATCATAAGTTGAGGAAGATCTATACAAAGAAGGTCTTTTATTATAATAGGAAAAGCAGCTATTTCAAAATTGATCTAGCCTATAATTTAAAAAACTCACTTTTCTCTTGTTGGTGTGAGTAAGGAAAATTAAAATCAGAAGATGAATTACATGGTGAGGATTTTGTTTTGTTTAGATTAAGTTTTTTCAGCTTTATTGAAATAGAATTGACAAATACATTTTTATATATTTAAAGTGTGATGATTTGACATACGTGTGCTTTGTGAGACGACCATCACAATTGGGTTGATTAACACATCCATCACCTTCACTACTTTAAACACAGAATTATAATTCATTTTTTATAAAGGAGTCATTAAGCATCTTCTGTGTGCCAGGGACTCTTCTAGGTGCTGGTGATGTAACAATGAAGCAAACAAAAGAAATACTCGTCCTTGATGGTGCTTTGATTTGACGGTGAGACACCGAGAATAAATAAGCAATGATGCTGTACTAAGTGACGTGTGCTGTAGAGTAAAATAAAACAGAACAAGAGGTTGCAATTTTAAATTAAAGGGGTAGGCCTTCCTGAGCAAAGAGGTGATTGGGATTAAAAGAGTGAGCCATGCAGAAATCTTGGAGAAGGACATTCCAGGAAGAAGTAGCAGCCAGTGAATAAACGTTTCTTAATGTATATAGCATTTACCTGCTACTACAAAATGTGAAGATTAATAAGATATCTGTACTTGCCTCAAGAAACTTAGAGCTCTCAGGTAGGGAGAACTCACCAGAATGAAAACTTTTACATATATTAACATGGTGCAATAAATGTTTGTCATATAGTGACATTCGAAAGAGAAATTCTTCTGACTTGGGCAGTCACGAAATGGGGAAGGGGTTGGGAGAGGGTGAGGTGTGTAAGAAGAATATTTATAGACTACTGCAACAGGCAAGAAGTCCTAAGGACCTCGAGATCCAAAGAGTGGTTGTGAATGGTGAGGAAGGGGGAAGTTAAAAGCTAAAGTTAAGAGATGGTGTTATTCTAGGAGTTAAGGAGACAAATTTCGAGCGTTAGCTCTGCCACTTGCTGCATTTCTTTGGATGTATCACTTGGGCCTTCAAGGCATTAATTTCTTTATCTAGAAAGTGGTGAGTGGAAAATTGTTCTCTAAGATCGGAGCTGTACTTCTGCCCAAGTTAATTTTAAAAATTAACACAATACCAATATAGTAAGTCCCCTACATATTAACGAGTTCTGTTCCGAGAGCATGTTCGCAAGTCCAGTGTGTTCGTAAGTCCAGCAAAGTTAGCCTAGGTACCCAACTAACACAATCGGCTATATAGTACTGTACTGTAATAGGTTTACAATACTTTTCACACAATACGTATAAAAAAAACACAAAAAATAAAGAAAACATATTTAATATTACAGTATAGTACCTTGAAAAGTACGGTATGGTACCGGCTACATCACCACTGCTTTTACACTTGCTTCCGGACGTCCTGGGCTTGAAATAAAGATACTGTACTACCGTACTCTATACAGTACTGTACAGTAAAGTACACAAAAGCATAAGCACTTGTGGAGGATGCATGCATGTGACAGTGTACGCCAGATATGTGACTTAAGTGATTGGACATGTGAACACGGTTCGCATCTTTGAAAGTTCGCAACTTGAAGATTCATATATAGGGGACTTACTGTAAAAAGTTGAGTAGTTTTGTTCTGTTTTCGTTTAGAGCTATTTTAGGGGCTGGGAGGAGGAGGGCGAGGACTGGAGAAACTGAGTCCAAGGTTCCTACCTGGGAAAGCCGTAAAACAGAAGAGCAGTGGTGGGGGAAGGAGAACCAGCCTGACCAGATATTAAGACATAAAGAGTCAAGAATCATGCCAGTGTGGCACCTGGATATACAGACCAATAGGACAGAATATTAAAAACAGACTGTAAAGTCCAGGAGTAGACCTAAATCTTTAGGAATTTAGTATATGATGAAGTTGGCATTTGAGATCAGGTGGGAATCCATTAACTGTACGAGGGGCTCCAAGCTAGCATCTTATGGTCTCCACGTTAAGACCAAGACCCCTAACTGCAGTCATGTCCTTAAATGTCATTCTAACAGTTGGGATCATTTTAAACATGGAGTATATAGAAGTCAACTTAGAGGGAAAATTCTACTGGGGAAACCCTTCACTTTGTATTTCCAGGTGGGCAGTAGAGGTGGGTCTATGGTGAGGAGAGCAGTGAACTATAGAGAAGAAGGGACAGGTACGTTAACAAATGCTTAAGGGGCAAATGGTCTGAGAGCAAAATTAGGATGAAAAGCACCTAACTTGCATTCAAGAAATAATTAAGCATCTATTATGTGCTTAGGATAGAAGCACTCTCCTAAAATGAGAGTTGCTAATAGGGCAAAAGTTAAGGACATAAATTAGAACAGAAAACTTAGGGGACGTCTGTTTTGGTTATTTATTCTGGCTAATCGTTCCAGAATAATTATCCTAATGCAAAACATTTCCCAAGTAGGACTTGTGTTTATGGTGTGGTGAAAGGTATTTTGCTAATGATATCCACATACATCTTTCAAAGTAGTGGTGTAGTGTAGCAAGAAAAGAAATTGCTTGAAATATTTCCAACTATATATGTTATGTGTATCATTAAATAGTAAACATGCTGCATGAAAAATGCTGTCTGCAAAGAGATTCAGAAATCTCACAAAATACCTTTTTATTCAACTGTGAAATCAAAGAGTAAGGCGTTGCTTTAGTATTGTCCTAGCCTTGACATTTTTTTGTTCTTTCAGTTTTCAGTATGTTTCAGGTACTACCAAAGAGGTTATTCAGGTATTTGAAGAAAATTCAGTTACAGATGACAGAACACTTCCTTGAGAAGGCATTTCTCCAACTGCCATTGCTGGAGGTTATGTTTGATGAATATCTTCACTGAATCAAGGAAACATTCATAGGGGCCCCATTGTCTCAGCAGAAAGAATGTCAGTCATTACTCAATCTCTTGCGTAAAATTCCCCCACAAACAGATAAATTAGACTGGGATTGTGGCAGTAAATCGTTGGCTCTAATGGTATTGAGAGAAACAGAAACTTTCTTTGCTAGTTTCTGTTTTTCTTTGAACTGGCATCTCAGGTTCTGTTTTAGTCTTCACTGATAAGAGATATTTAAATTGGAGGAGGACTTAGAAGATGACAGAAGGACAGTAGCCTTACTCTGTGACTGCACATGGAGGAGGCTTGTATAAGGTGATGCTTCAGAGCACCGGTCCGGGGCAGCTTTTCCACCTGTCGAAGCTGGTGGCCTTGGCAAATCGCTTCCCTCTGTGAGCTTCAGTTTCCTCAACTGTGAAGAGTCATAAACTACATGTTCTGGTTTTGCTCAGGACAGTCTGGTTTACAGCTGCTGTTCTGTGTGATTATTCAAAGCACCCCTTTCACTCTCAAAGGTGTTCTGGTTTTGATAATAAATTGCATGATTACCTCACCCACCTTGAGGATGATTGTGAGGTTGAAGTGAATTAAGGTTTGTAAGATCCTTAAGCATGGTGCCTGGTGCATAGTATATGCTCAAATGATGATGACTAGTGTCTTATAAACTGTCCGGTTTTATGAAAATTGGCCACTCTTTCAGTCACTCTGAGTCTTTTATTCCACCCACATAGAATTTCCTACCTAAGGCAATGAATTTGAGAGGTTTCAGCAATTACTAAAAAATTTCTAATTGTGTCTTCACAGGTTATCTACGTGTAGAACTACCAGTGGTTATACTGGTACTAACTTTATAATGATAGTAAAATGCTTTAGAACTTTTTCAAAATCATATCTCATTTTCACAAGAACTCCCATGAAATAGGTACTTTAATAATTATTACTACCATTGTAACCATCTGGAAACTGAGACTCAGATATATGAAATTACTTTCCCAAGAAGATCACATAGCCAGAATGAGTCAGAGGACATGACCCAGGGCTTCTCACCTTATATTTCATTTCTTTTCGTTGCACCATATTGGTGAAATAAAAGGGCAAGATTACTAAATTACCCAGTGCCTTCACAATATGCCTGCCGTGGTCATTTGTCCTTCTATTTTTGACTTGTCTGATGTTCATTCATTCACGCTATTGTTTTCAAAAACCATTTAAGTCCTGCTTGGCCTCAGTATACAGACAGGGCCCCTGGCCTAGGGTAACTTACCATCGAGAAAACCTTTACGACGATCCTAGATACAGTCACTTCTCACTGGGTCTCTCTGGGTGAGTAGTTTCAGGAGGACACAGTGGAAGCACAGAGGAGTCTTTGCTGGCTCCTTGTGTTCACTGCTCTGCGGTTTGTGGCCCTTGTTACTCTGTACCTTTGCAGGCAGGGTGGGAAGATTGGGGTCTGCCATTTCCAGGCCTTTATGCATTCCAACAGTGAGGCTGTCTCTCATAACTTGTTCCGGTTTCTCTTGCGACACACATCCCATTAAATTGGAATGGGCTGTA